GTAGGGAAATAGAAGAGATTCCAGACATTCTTTGGAAGGGAGAGGGTTAAGTTGAAAGAAAATGATGTCTTGTCTTTTACTGCTGTTGGTGGTGGAGGAGGGTTGAAATGAGCCTGCTCTCTGGAACTGCTTTATTGTGGGTTTGATGACATGGCCTTGGCATGTCCTTGGTGGATTTGATTAGTTATTAGGGACCTGCATGACCAAGTGCAGGCTCTTCCTTGCCCAGGGGTCCTCGGCACAGAGCCTGGCTGTGACAACACAGAAAACATTTACGATAACTCGAAGACGAGATCTCTTTAGTAAAGTAAGTTGCTGTTATTATCAAGCCCGGGGGTCAGCGACCTCTCAGAGGTAGAGTGCCAAGATTTGACTTATTCACCTCTATGTATGGGTCCTAGTGCCATTGATACTTTTTTAAAGTCAATGACAGTCCTACTTACAGCAGCTTCATTAATAAGATGCAGATTGTACCCTTTAGGGTGATCCTTGGCCTTGCTGAGTTCTCCAAGCTCCGCTCAGTTTGCTACTTTAAGCAGCGCACAAGCCTGAGTGTTCAGTTGTTAGATATTTTCACATATGAAGTTAGTTGTTTGCAGAGGTGTGTAGATCCAAAAGCAGAGAGCAGTGAAATTTCACAGGCAGTGAATTCCAACAGGCCCTGATAGCAACCCCATGATCTGTTTCGGTAGTCTCAAGTGTGCGACGCAGATCTTTAAACTTCAAGGCCCATAAGTCTGAGCATTGCAATTCAACAAATGGTTTGGTAGCACTTTATAGACTAACAAAACATGTAGATGGGATCATGAGCTTTCGTGGGTACGAAAGCTCATAATACCAACTATGTTTTGTTAGTCTATAAAGCAGGGGTTCTTAACCAGTGAGGTGCGCCTCCCCAGGGGAAGTGTGAAGGGGATACAGGGGAGTTGTGAGGTGCTTCCCAGAAAATTTATCTGGAAAATTTATCTGCCTTCTTACTGGATAAAATTCTAAAGTTTAGATTTCTTCATAATTAATATTATGAATTAAAATTATAAACATTAATTTCTTATTAACTTCTAGAGATTGGCACACTACAATAACAGTGTGAATCAATCAGACCTATGTGACAACACACTACAATAGCAGTATGCGAGCATTGCCGACTTTCATCTTCAAATATTACATAAATTTGTTAGGAAAAAGTTCAAAGTAAAAAGTTCATATTATTCATATAGGCATCGCAACGGGGTTCACTCACCCCGCAGTGTCACCAGCCGTCGGACTTGGGAATTAGCTCAGATGGTTGCGTCTAGCGGGTTCGCCAGGTCCCAGCGTTCAGGCAGGCCTCAGGGTTCGAGCCGGGCCTTCAGCTCAGGCCGGTCCTCCAAATCGTCAGGCATCAGTAGAGCCTTGGGTTCCTCTAGGTCAGAGGGTAGCCCTCTTGGCCGGCTTGGCCAGGCCTCGGTGGCCCAGGCAGGGAAGCCTTCCCTGTCCTGAGGGAAGGCGGCTGTGGGAGGCCCGGGCCAGGTCTCAGCCTCATCAGCCAGGAGCTCTAGGCAGGCCTCTGTCTCCCTCAGAGGCTGGGCCCCAACTGAGCTCCCTGGCAGAGTTCTTATAGTCCTAGCCATGCTCCATAGCTTCCTGTCAGGTGAGGCGGTGGGGCTAGGCTGTGCACAAAATGGCTGCCAAGGGGGTGTGAGCACTTTCAGGGGAGGTGTGAAGGTAAAAAGGTTAAGAACCCTGCTATAAAGTGCCACCAGACCATTTGTTGTTGTTGTTTGTTGTTTTTCTGTACAGACTAACTCAGCTACCCCCTGGAGCATTGCAATTCAGTGAGCTGCATTTCAAAATCCTCAACACCCATCCACTGAAACACCGTTGAATCTATGTTGCTGGCAGCAGAGTTGTCTGATTTGATTAAAAAGGAAAAAAAAAAAGGCCCAAACTCTGGAAATCTTGAAATTTGACAGAAAATTCTGAGGGGAGTACTTGCACATACATTTTAATCTCAGCAGCACTGATGGGCAATGTTTCAAAAGTTCTATAAGATGTTGGAAATAGCAGAAAGTCTAGGTATCAATGTCCTGAGAAAAAATGGAAAGTTTTGCAACAAATGCCTTCTTTGTTTCAACAAGACCCATAATAGTTTGGCCTGCGCCCTGCAGATGGAGCTTGAGTTTGTTTAAATGTGCAGTGATGTCAGTTAGAAACATTAATTCCATGAGCCATTTGTCATCATCCAGTCTGGGGTAGTTTTAGCCTTTTTCTGACAAGAAGATCTTGATTGCATCAAGACAGTCCACAAAGTGTGTCCAAACCTTCCCACGGCTTCACCAGTGAACATTGCTGTCAAGCGGAATATCCTTTGCACTGTCCATTTCCTCAAGCAAGGCTTGAAATTGTGGATGTGTCAAGGCAGATTGAGCAAC